GGTTAAAGTGGAACGTCAGCATTCACTTTGATTCTGTGACGCCTCAACAGATGTGTGCTTTTTGTAACTTCCTGAGTTCTAAATGCTGAAAAAGAAGAACACCTAAAATCCAGTGCTTCATCCTCCTCCAGTAAAACATTGGAACTTACAGTATGTGTATATATATATGCATATGCTTTGAGGCCTTGCAGAGCTGTCTCAAAAAGATCATGGAAAGCTGCACTTTGTGTTCTTCACGTTTCCAGTATGTACAACAAGTGTAAGGAGTGAAATGGGGCATAACGCCATTTAAAAGAAAATCCCTTGCATCAGCTTTTGGCAAACCAAGCCCAGTTTGGCTTCATAGAAAGCCTGACAGGCTCAGACCTCACAGGTGACCCTGCAAAAATCATTTGTCCTGTTAGTTTGATGAGCTGAAAACACCAATGTATATACACAAATCATGTCTTCATGGTCTGAAATTGGAACTTAAATTTTATTAGTTCTGCTATGTCTACCTTAAGAGCCTGTGCTCCTCAGTCTGTAGAATGAACATCTTACCTTGTGAATTCATTCACATTTGAAAAATACTTTGACATTTTTTTACAGCAGCTCATTCTTCACTTGGAAACTTTATCAGTAAAATTTGGTAGAGGGATCTTGTGTAAATTTTAACCACCTCATGTTTTGCTGAATAGAAAAATGATGTAATTCTGATTATCTTTGTAATGCAAAGTAGACATAGTTTGGTATGAAATTTCACATACTTTGAAGAGCTCCTGGTGTCCATATGTCTGTCCCTTCATTTCAGGTGACTCGACAAGGCTAATCTTTATATGTTAGCTTAAAGATGAAAAAGTGAATTATTTACTTGATTTCAGTAATAGGATGCATATTACAGATAATGTCAATTATGTAACTTTTTATAAGCAGGTCTTATAGTTATTTCTTGATTTTTATTGTTGTTTTTCATCCCTTATGAATAAATGCCTCATTTTTTGTTAATGAGGATCTTTATCAAACAAGTCCTCCAGATACCAATTAATCTGTCATATACATGAGAGAAATATCTGAGGAAAGTTATATATTTTCCTTTTATAGTTCTTCTTAATATTTTAGAATTTTTCTGATGCAGAATTAGCTCTTTCAATGGAGTTACAATACTGAGAATTGCTGTAGAGATAATTAGTTGCTTCTCTCTCTCACCTGTATGATTACTGACACTTTATGCAGATGTGGCTCTTCTTTTCATCTGGAAATTATGAACATCTTCCATTATTAATTCTCTCCTGTATGCAGTCAGTTTTATATAATTGTTGATGTAACTGGGATGCTTCTGGTGCTTTACTAAGTTCTCCAGTATTTGCTGAATTTTACACTGCTGCCCCTGGATGTTTTATATTATAGTTTATTTGCTTGTGGAAGGGTAAAATGTAAAGAAAATGTGGTAAGTTTGGAGAATAAAACTAGTATCTCAAAATTGGAACAAATGTAAAATTCCAATGGTGCATATAGGTCCACTTAATAATGTAGAGAGTCTCACAGAGTCTGATGTATTCTCGGTATCCAGAAGAAGCTTTTGAGGAAAAGGTGGAGGCAAGTTAAAGACAAGCTGTAGTCTTGTACGCCAGGTGCATATTAAACTATGTAGCACATGATCCATCCTGCAGCCTTTTCCCGTCTCTTTCTTCTCTCTTGTCCAGATTGCAGTTGAGCATTGTAGTCTCCTTCATGTAGCAGGCAAATATATATAGCTGTAGGAATAACCAAGGAGAAAAAAGTAGTGGTTAAATAGGGGAAGGCACTGCAACGCAACTACTTGTAACTGACACTCAGTTTCATGTTGTCCCTTTTGGTTTCTTCAAATATGCCTGAATCTGAAATGCCTCATCTGCTTTTATCCAGTATAAAGTAGAGAAGATAACAGAAAGCATAAACTATACTGCTAGGTGGGGAGGAAGAGTTTAGCTTTGAATGAAACATATCAATTATATATCCTGAAAAATAAAAAAAGCAGTTTTGCTGGAGAAGGAGAGGATGCTTGGGAAGCAGAGAATGGTGTAAATATTTTGAAAGATGTGAATATTCTTTATCCTCCTTAAAAGGAAACAATTGTAGCTAGCACTGGGAATGTTTGAAGTGCTGTTACATTAAAATTAAAACAATTGTGCTTTAGGTCTTAAAGTGTATTTGGGCTTGTTTGGGCTAGCATAAGCTCTGTCCACTCTGCACGGTCATGTATGCATCTGCCCTTTCTTTGGCTTTCTTGAGCACCAAGTGAAGTTGAGCTTTTCTGTAATTTGTTGTGGTGTATTATGGCACTGTTAGCCTGTCTTACATGGCTCTAAACGTGGAAATGTTGTTAACCTCCTGTCACATTTGAACTCCTTTCTGTTCTCTGCTCCTAGAAGTCAACAAAGCCATGAGTCCATTAATGACACAGTTCTGATTATGGGAAGGATCACCTACATATGTGGTAAAACAAATGTGTCAAAGAAATGTTCGATGGCTTTTCTGAAATGTAGAGAGTTTCATCAAACTCAGTAAGTGTGGAGGCATCCATAGCTTCCAAGAGATATTGAACATCGTAATTTTCATGTTTTTTTGAGGTTCACAGACGAAGAGGAGAGTGGTAGGATAGGATCTCATTGTTCCATAGGTTTCAGATGACCAGAAATGGCTCCAGAACTATTAATGAGAAACGGTACTTTCATAAAGTTATGTGAGGAGCTCGTCCTCATGCATCCGCACCAGTGTTCTCAATGGAGTGCACCACTGCTGGTGTAGAAGCAAGTAACTATTGCACTCTAATTTAAACTGGTCACTTCAGAAAGGTACAAATGCCAAACATACTTGGTGTTGGCAAGTTGGTTGGGGTGAGTGACTTGTGATTAAATTTGCCATGAAGCTTCCTCTATTAATTTTCTTATCAGCTCTCCAAGGAAGTTTGAGGCTTGTGAAGTAGAGTCTACAATTATATTAGAGCATTAAGTTGTGTTGTGTTTGATTTTTTCTTCCTTTTTTTTTTTTTTGTTTGTTTGCAGGTAAAGGCCTTTACCATTATTACTTAATGCTTAATATCTGCTGTAGAAATTTTCACTTAATTTTACATAAAAGTGAATGTTTTTCTCGTTTTTTAACAACATTTTCCCCAAACTTCGATATGTACGCATCTGCAATTATCTTAGTAACGACAGATGCTGTGTAGCAATATATGAAATGTATAGAAAAAATTAATGAAAGGTGGTTGAAAATATCAATTGAAGCAAAATAGCTTCCTCTTGCTGTTTTCCAAGTGTACTATGATGTAAATGTGGGACATGGCAAAAGGAATGTATTTAGATTCCCATGGAACAGAAGATGAGGTGAAAAATTCTCAGAATTCAGTGATACTGCCTCTTTTATTTCTGGCGTGGACAGTTCTTGTTTGTTCCCCTTGCTTTGTGTTCCATTCCAAATGTGAAGTGTGGTAAGAATTGCACGTAGAAGTTCAAGTGTTTGATACTTTTGTAGATAATCAAGAAGTTTTCAAGCATGCAGGCCCTTCTTCATTTCTGAAATATTATATGGACCTGAGCTGATCATTATGGAGATCCTGAGGGAGTGGTAGTTCAGCGAAGGTAGCACTTCTGTTTCAGAAGAGGCTAGGAAGGCAGCTGTAGTGGTAGATGTGATTTAGGAAAGAAATAGAGAAGAAAGAAGAGAAGGCCATTATGCCACTGCACAAATCCATGTTTTGCCCACATCTTGAGTAACTAGTGGGGTTTTCTTTCTATCTCAAAAGGGTTAGAACAGACCTATGAAAAGGTCCCTAAAAGGGCAATTAAAATGGTCATGCATACAAAAATGCTGCTGCCTGGGTAACGGCTAAGTGAACCATGACTCTTTCAGCTAGAGGAAGATCTGATCACGGAAGATATGTTAAAAATCTGTAGAATAATTACTGACAGATAAGAATTGTTTATTTACTGTGCCTTCCAGGACAAGGATTAAGGGCCCTCAGATAGCAAGAGCCAGGACAAGACAGATGAAAGCCAGCGTTTTGTCCATACAGTGTTTGGTTGTGGCACAGAACTCCTTGCCAGTGGATGCTGTAGATGCTATACGTTTGCATTATCTTAGGAGACTGGACACGTTTATAGTACAGAAATTAAATGAAAAAAATTAATAGAATTTGCAGAGTAGCAGAATAGTAAATACACAGAAACCAAGTCCACTTCAGGAAGTGATTGAACTAGAAATAATTGTAGGTTGGGAGAGTATTTGGAAGAGGGGGACAAAATCACATTCATATATATAATTGTTATATATGAATATATATATGCTCTGTTCTTTGGCATCTACCATTGGCCAGTTTGAGACAGGATATAGAGCCAGACTTCTGGTTTAATTCATTGTGGCTTTTCTTACACATTTTCCCACTTCTGTTCAGGTTTGAAGAACACTTACCGTCTAGAAAGCTGATCTGATTACTTCAGTTATGCCAGTTGGTCAAATAAAAGATACTTCTTCAACTTATAAACTTTGTCTGGCATATGTCCATAGACCATCATGGTAAAATACCACCAGATATCACGTACTGGAGGAATGCATCAAGTTGATACTTGATAACAAACTTCATTCGTTACTGAATTGAAGCATGCATGACAACACTGAAGAACAGTCTGTCGGATTTGTAGATAAACGCTATCTTATTTTCAGACTTTTGCAAGGCTTATTGTCTGAAATCTATGTTGAAGGCAACAAAACTATAATATATATATGTGTATATATCTAGTTAACATAGGCTTTTTCTGGCTGAATCTTGGCTAGAGGTAGATTTAATTCACAAAATAAGAAACGTGTTTGTTCTGATCTGTTTGTAACACAACAGTTTATTCTCTTTAGCATTGTTTGAGTCATTTTAATGCCTCATTATAAAATTCATTGTGGGTTTTTTTGGTGTTTTTTTTTCTAGAACTGAATTCCTACAAAAAATGTTGATGGTGCAGATCTGACCTATGATAATATCTTGAAAGAGTATGAATATTTCAGCAAACTGCCTCTTCAGTGGTTCCTCGTTAGCATCTGAAGTGCATGCTGCTGCTGTTAATGGAGATAAGAGTACCCTCCAAAAGCTAATAGCAGGTAAATGTTTTCATTGTAGTTGTATTTTGATGACTTCAGAACTGAAGCTTTTTGGTTTTGACTTACTGCTCTGATCTTTGAGTTATATTTTCATTTCTTGATTATATGTATTTCTAGAATAAATGTAGTCCTGAAAATAGGACTGATTTTTCTTGCTTTTTATTATATGTTGCCTTTGATTGGTACTCATGTGTGAAGTAAAATAGAAAATTTCTAAGTGATACAACCAGAAAAGTTATACAGGACTCCTGTCTCAGGGAATTTGAAATTCTGGAGAAGTACTTTGGGCTGAAATATTTTGCCCCCAAATGCTTATTTTTGAAATCATTGCTTTTGTGGGAAATTTGATAAACTTGTTTTTACAGATCATTTTTTATAGATAAGGAAGTCTTGTCACTGTGTAGTATTTGGGGACAAAATGAGCCAGCCCTATTTGTTACTTTGATTCTGATACACTAAAAATGTTTCTCAGGACAAATTAAATACAAGGAGAGAGTCTGGTTGTATTGGTGCTGAAGTGAAAAAAAAAATCCCATCCAATAAAAAGCCCAGGATTTTGCCTTCCCTGACCGAGAATTGTATGGCATTTGAGGTTAGTAGTTTTCAAAAGCAGTATATGTTCCATGTTGCAAAAACAATCTTATATACATTTGGAAGGCTGTCATGTGATAGGCGAAGACTTTGATTTTCAGAGTTTCTGAAATTCCAGCTGATACTGTAGAAGTTTTATATGCTCAACCTTTTTTGAAAATCCTGTTCCTGGAGCTTGGTGAGGGTGAAGGACTGGGAAATAATAAGAAACTTCGTCTGTATTTATGCCATTAACTGTCAGTTTTAATGGGTGTAAAGGATTTAATGGTGATCACATTAAACCAACAGTCAAGTTTCTTTATGTATCTTTTGCTGACCTATGTTGAAGACAAGATAGTAAGCTATGTAGATCTATTGTCTAAGCTATATAGAAAGCTGGAAATTGTTCTTCTTTACAAGGTGTATCTAATTCTCTCAAAGACAATTAGAAGTGATTTAACTCAAACAGGAGAAAAAGTTTGAGGGAACTGACTTTATAGAAGCTCCACTGGTTGAAACAAAATTTTTTTATTGGGCCTTCAACTTTATTTTGTCGTATGATGGCTCAAACGTACACGGATTGCATTTAATGCTATCTGTTCACTCTTTTGTAGAACATTCTATAAACAATGTATGAGCAGTTGATATGCAGATACTTCTAGAAATCTGTGGGATGCAACTACAAAGTAACTTTAAATACCCAAGTTTCTTCAAGTTCTCTGCCTGCATATGGAAGGGGAAAAAAGCCTGAGCTTTCAAATACTGGCTAACAATCAGAAGCGACAACAAAGAGTTTTTGCTGACTTCAGTAAGTTTTTGTTAATCTCACAGCCAAAAGATGTATTTTGAAAACACAAAGGAACAACTATTTCTGTGTTGCTGGTACACCTTGTCACATCTACCACAAAACAGCCGTTAGAACCAGATACGGAAATCACTATTCTTTTAATGGTGATCATGCAGCAACAAAATAAAAATGATGTGTGTTATTTTTACACAGGAGAGAAAACTGCATAATCTTTGTAGCCTTTGCTATAGTAGCAAAATTTGGCTTTTCTACTTTGTCGTGTTTTGACAGGATATGACACAGACCTTACTTTTGGCAGAACAGGACCAAAAAGAAAGTATTGCCTAGCAGAAGAAAAATGCATTAGAGTGATATTTTTAGCTGTTTACCAGGCACTGTTGAAAGTACAACTTGATGCCAGAAGTAAATTGAGCAATTGGTATTATTCACTGAACTTCATGACTGCCCTTAGCAGCAACACCTAATTCAGGACAGTACTTCAGCATAACGTGTGTGTATGCTGGAATGCATAACAACGTTCTCCTAACACAGCCAAGCTTTGCATCTTGATTATGTAGCTAGTGGTCTATCTAGTAACATGAAGTCTGACTTTCTCCTTCTTTTAGGAAGGAGTCTTTACCCCTAAATTCATTATTACTTTCCTCTTTGAGTTTTCCCTATGCAGTTATTAATATAGGAGGGGCATAGAGGCTGGTTAAAGAGTCTCTTGGAGCAGCCCCTCTAACCTGTTTGGTGGTTATTCCTTTTCCCATCTGCTGTAGCTTGGTGGAGCATGTGTGAATGTATGCAAACATATACATTGTATTTGCATATAATTCATGAGTATGGATGCATGTGTAATCTACTGCCCAATAGTGTGTGACTGTAAAGGAGCAGGTGTTTGAAATAATACAGTGTGTTCTGGATATTATGTTCCTTTTGACATCCTGTACCAATAAGAGACAGAATCAAAGGTAAGAAGAAAATTTATTTAGAGAAAGACAGGTTTGGAGCAAAGTGTCTCTTCATGTTAACCAGTACTGATGCTTAATTACAGGACTTTCTAAACAGCCTATGGGTTAAATACAATAAAGCACGATATATGCCAAGTGTTTACTGTATAACCAGTGCTCTAATAGAAGTGTGCTAATTGTTTTCATTGCATGAGTTGCCTAGTACTGTATCACATTGTTTTAGAATTGTATGATCTCAGGCTTTGGGGAATACAGTGTTTTCTTTTCTATGTTTTATACAACACCAAACATGTCTTTAATTAGCAGTTTTTCAGTGTTAAAACCCATCTGTATGATTTTAATCCTAGGCAAGAAGGGAGCAAAAGTGAACTCAGAATAGAACCAACTCTTGAGTCACTCTTGACTGCTGCATAGGAGCTGAATCAGTGTTACTAAGTGAGATTTTGTAACTCTTGATGAGAGTATACACAGATAAGCAACAGCAGCCTGCTGTAGTCGTTGTACTCTAAAAATGGTGGAGGATCTAAAGATTAGTCTAAAGAGTAAAATCCTTGCTTGCAGTGTGAAGCGATGCAAAAGCACTTAACAAAATAAAAAGTTTAGGAAGGTCAAAGGGAAGTGAGCATGGCTGGACAGCAGTGTAACTGTGGGTAAGAGCAAGAAGGTGCTCTTCAAAAAACATAACCTGTGTCTGAGAAAGGTATATGCAGGTCAGCAAAAGACTTTTTTTTTTTTTTTTTTTTAAATTTGCTAGAGGCATAAAAGTTGATTCTAAAACTTGTGGATTGTCAAGGTGAAGGGACAGTCAGAGAAAACAAGTCCATGGGTGAAGAACAAAACAAATTATTCTGTATCTGCATTCACAGAAGAGCTTGGAAAGGTTCCTAAAACTGTCCTAAACTGACTCTTCTGCTGGGTGAATCAGTAGAAATTATAATTAAGAATACAATTACTGGATATGTAGATAGGTGTAATATGCTGGGGGAGAGTGAAGATTGTGTTTGTAAAGGAGAAGCATGCCTCTGTTGGAGTTCTTTTGAAGCATCAACAATCATGCAACCAAGGGAATATTTAAAAAGAAAAATGAACTTACCTGTTAAAATTCAATGTTCTTTGAATAATTGTAGATGACGTTGCTACATGGGAGATGTATTTAGAGTTGGGATGTGTAGGATAGTTGATACCCATGAATTTATAGGTGCTAGTTTTAAGTGGTGACATAATAGAAGTGTGAAATTTTGCAGTGGAGAATGCATAATGGTTTGTTTGGGTTTTGAGGTTTTTTTGACTGTGAATAGAAATACAATGTTTTTTTACATGACCTCAAACGTCTTATTTAGATTAATTGCTGCCTTACTAACCTTATCAATTCAAGAAAGCTCAAGAAATATTTTAGTAGTTTCCATATTATAAGGCACTATCGAGAAAATAATGGTATTGATGTAATATTGACATCTTTATGCTTTTTAAATAAACATTGCTGTAAACAGGCTTCAAAGCTTGCTTTAGTTACAGTGTTTACAGGTTTCAGAAGGACTATTTGGTTTACTTGCTGTTGATATTTTTTAAAGTAATCTTTGTAGCCAAGATTTGTGTAACTCTTTTAAAATTATTTATAATTATGCTGCTTCAGAATATTACTTGTGGTAGGTGTGTTTGTGGAACTAGTGTTTTCTGAATGTACTTTTTTCTGTAAGTGTATTTTGCAATGTCGTATAAATGTCAGTAACAGTAGAGTAAAAAGTAGTAACTTTGGGTTTATCTTATACTCCATTATTTTGACCACCCTGTTCATTTATGATAAGAATGTACTACTTTTAATTAAAGTATCCTTTCAATAAAAAGTACTACTCTTAGATACTCATGGACTTAATTGTTTTATGCGATTATTTTAATTTTTTTTTAGGAAACTCTGAGCTGAAAGATAAAGAGGACCAGTTTGGAAGAACTCCACTTATGTACTGTGTATTGGCCGACAGGCTGGACTGTGCAGAGGCATTGCTGAAGGCTGGAGCCGATGTTAATAGAGCTGATCGTAGTCGAAGAACTGCTCTTCATCTTGCTGCACAAAAGGTAATTACATTAAAAGTGCTCAGCCATTGTATGAACTTGCGGCATTCACAACAGTTATAAAGGAGACTTTCTTGTATTGAATAAGCATGTTGTATCTTTAGAGGCTTTAATTATTTTAGAGGCAAATAATGCTATGAGGTTTTTAAAAACTTGGTCCACCCCAAAGTAAATCTTCGGAGGGTTTGTTGGGTTTTTTTAGTGTTTTTACTCAGTGTATTTGTGGCTGTCTGCAGAGGCAGTATAATTCATTGCTGTTTTAAGAACTTGTACTTACATGGAAAAATAGTCTTTGTCCGTTTTGGGATAGCCAGTTAAAAGTAAAGACCAAATTTTGTACACTCTGATATTTCTTAGGATGTTGCCATTAATTTCAGTGGATATAAGGCCATACACTCTTAATTATTAATGCCACGTCTGAGAATTTCAACAATATAGAGTACCAAATAATTTCCAGGACCAGGAGGGAAATGTATTACTGTCTGTTTTTCCTTCTACAATTTCAGTCTATAATATTTCCCTATTTTGTTGTCCCACTGAAGAGAAGCTGAAGAAAGTATTCAGTAATAAAATAATAGGTAATTTGAAGTATAACTTCAGAGCTGCAATGAATTTAGAGTGTGTTTAGGGTTGGGGGAAAGTGTCCACAGTTACAGGAGAATGAGCAAGCTGCTGATGGGAGGGGAAGAGCAAAGGTGGGTTGGCTAGCTAACCAAGACGTTTTATGGAAAAGACTCCACAGAGAAGATTAAAAACTGAAACTGAAAGGAAAAGCTTTTTATTTGCTATTTTACTTTTTATAGTATGTTTAAAACTGTAACTGCTCAAAAGTTGAAGTTGTTTTGGCTATGTAAGCTGTGTCTTTTGGTACCAGATAGAGTACCTGCTGTGATTTTCATAGCAAACTATTTCTATATATAATACCTGGTCACCTGTTGATAACCATTCATGTTTTTCAGATGTTTTATATACTTTTTTAATACACTTGGCAAATTTTTTTTTGTTTTATTTTAGTTAGGTTTACTTAAAGGTAGCTATAGTATGATCAAGGTATTTAGTAAGGAGCGATATATGCAATTGAATAGAGAACCGTTTGGGAAGATTATAATAAGGTGACATTCTTCCGTTACACTTGCATGGGAGTTCATAGGGACTGTGTGGTCTATGTTACTGCATCCTTTATTGGCAATTAAGTGTTCATTTAATATTTTAAATTTACAAATTCCTTAGGTAAAAATGTTAACTATTAAAAACTAGTGTGAATGCATTCTTGAAATGGGTACAATAATGCACTACATTACTTAACTAGCATTGTAATTAGTTACAGTAGGTTATAGTTGAGTTGAAATAGGTTAATTCATCTATTTGGTTACATACCACAACACCCTGATGAAATATTTCAGTCATGATCATAACCTTGTCTCTAGTGTACCAAGGTTAACTTCATATTTCTAAGAGACCAGCTTACTGTGAATGTTGTTGATTCAAAGATAGGTATTTCATAAATGTAATAATGTTTGCCTGGTGTTCATACAGGCTTTAGATTTTATAACCTGATAGGCCCATGAACTTTTTCATCATATTAAAAACTTAATTTTAAAAATTACATTTCCTCTGGGTTTTTAAAATACATTTTAGCATATTAAAACCATATAAATTCTTGTTTAAATCTTTGTCTATATGTTCATATTGTGAATATTTGTACTGCAGCTATTCAAGGCATGAGATATTTTGCCTTGGCACAATATCCATTAATGTGCTCTCCATTTCCTTTAAGTCTTGCTGCAGTCATGAAAGGGCACTTTGTACCACGTGATACTTGGGCCATCTTAGATGTGTTTTCAGTTGGCAGTGCAGCTGAAAAAAAAAGGTACTGTCTTTACCTCCTGCTTTTTTAGCAAAAGATTGTATGCAGTCACCCACTTATTGTGTAATGTAGTAGATAAATGTGATTCACCCCATAGCCACGTAAATGCTTGTGCTGTCATGGTGCTGGGGTGGCAAAAAGTGGTCAGGAGACAGCCCTTGCAGCTGCTTTGCATTTGGCTGTGCTTAGCTGTCCTGTAAAACTGCATTCTGTAACACTGAGCAGTTACTCGCTATTGATGTCAGCTTATGAAATTAACATTTCATGTGTGTAAAATGTCAATAACGAAAGAATGAAGACAAAAATTTTGAGATCTGCATTTTTACCGTGAATACCTTCTGCAAAATACATAAAATTAAAATTCAAAACAGCTTCACGTTCCATGCAGTTTTGGCTGTTTAAATAACGTTTTGCATTCTTCTTATTCCTCTCTGATACTTTTGGTTTATGTTCTCCTCTAACATAAGGGCTAATTTTTTTCTCTGGAAAGTAAAAATTTTTTCCTCAGTAACCAATGCTGAAAGTTGACTTTCAGACAGAAAAAGAAAAATGCTGTGAGGTAACCCGTTTCCAAAGTTTTATTGTCAGTGTTGGTTAATCATGAATTTACATATTTACCAGGGCCACTTTATAGGTTTTTTTGTGTTCAAGGTTGTGAGTCCATTAGTCACTGTCCTGCACTTCTTCAAAACAGGTTTACATGACTTTCTAAATCTCCATTCATTTGTAGTCACAGAATGACAGTGCTTGGAGGTTTCAGATTCCTAAATTGCACTTGAGTTGCATCCTAATTTTCATTTTCTTTGGAGAGAGAAGTTAAGCTTAATGCACAGGCCTGTACATGCACCCAGTGAAGAGGCAGGAAAGAGAAGACACTTTTCCACACGCACATTCTCAAATACAGCAGATGGATGTAAAATGCAACTAGGTTTCCTGAGTAAGAACCTTCCTCTCTAGGTACTAGAATGACTTTTGCTGTTTTTTGCTGTCTCTTGGGAGTGCTTTTGGAACATCTTACTCATCAGATTGCCACACACATCCTGAGGGCTAGAGTTTGTTGCCAGAATATTTCAGTCTCTTTAAGTTATCATTCTACAGGCTTCCTTTACATGTCCCTATACAGGTGTTCTGAAACAGTCTTGCAGTTGATTTCACAAAAAAATGGTTTCTGCTGTATTTGGGAGCCACAGAACTGTCTCAGAGGCAAAGTTTGTGAGAAGATATTCTTCTAATGCCAAACAGGAAGAATGATTTAGCCATCTTGGATAGCAGGAAGCTGAATATCTTCCTTCATGTGTTTAGATTCAAGAGGATGGCTCTCCCGTTAGTAATCCTGGTTATTGAAAGAAAAATTGGTCTCATTCTCTGCAGGATGCTTTTTGCCATTTGTCTGTCAGAGAATCTTGCAATACTCCATTCCATCAGTATCTGCTAAAACTACAGCTGATATAAGGTTCTTTTCTTTGGTTTTTGGGGGGTTTTTTTGCAGGGTTTTTTCCCCAGCATCAAGTAACTGTGCTAAGGTATCGGTGGAAATACCTGCTCACTTGAAATGAAGCTATTCCCATTTTTCTGTCTGAAGACTTCAGTGATAAAGGGACTGCCAGTTCATGCCTTTCAGTCCTAGTAAAATAGCTGGTGTGGTGGTTTGTTTTTTTTTTAATCCCTGTTACAGAACAAACAATCAGAAATGTGGCATTGCCCTGAATTCAGTCATAAATCATCAGTATTAAGTAAAATGAGTTAGGACTCTAATTGCCTGCCTTCTCAAGGATGGATTTCTGGTTGGATAGGACTTAAATGAACAGCTGTAGCATCTTTCTATTAACACTTGCATAACTAGCTTCTGACTATACCTATGTGACTTACAAACCTGGCTATAATGGGTGAGTGAGTGTATACATACACATATGTACATACCAGCTCTGTTATATTTTAAACTTTCACCTCTGCAAGTTTTATACTTCCAGCTATTGTCTGCAGAATAACAGACAACTTTTGCTCCCATCATATTTGTTATGACTGTTGCATAAGGCTTATATTTCGTAAAAGCATTTCTTTCAGTCCTTCCAAATGCTGACAAGCACATTCAGTGTTCAAAATTCAAATTTTTATTTGTTAATAATACAGAGTTCTTCCTCAATTACAAGTGATGATTACAGCATTACCCATATGGTCATACAAAACATTATTTGATGTGATAGTCTCATAGTAGTTCCTTAATCCTTCATTATTTCCTAATAGCACCTCTAACCCCTTTTTAAATAGTTACTTTGTTACTTGCAGTTGTGTAGTTGATATCCTCCCAGGTATTCTGTGGCAATCAAGTGCTTTTGCTTGTTGTCCCACAAGTGTCCCAGAAGTAATTTTTCAGAACTGTGAGTTGTCAAAATAGCTCTGTTTTGCTTTGAATATCAATAAACAGTATCAAAATTTCTGCACTTACTGTAAGTGCTGTTCATGGTCTCTCAAGAATATTTCTAGTAGCATAGCTAGACAGACTGACCCATGCTATTCCATGTTCTTTCAATTCCAAGGATTTCAACACAGTTAAAAAGTGAAGGTGATCTAATGATTTCAGTAACCCTATCTAACGCGGGTTTAATAGCTAGGTCATCTTTACCAGTTAATGAGGAAGTGGAGGTCTCAGAACTCGGAGTTGCTATATCACCCTTGTTTTGCCATGCCACATCCAAATAGCTTTTGTCACTGGAGCATGTCTACAAAGCAATAGTTAGCTGGAAAGATTTATCAGGTTCTCAACAAAGAGTTCTTGTAATCTCTCTGTCTCAGACTTTGTTAGTGTCATTCTGGACTATTTGCAAGAAGTAAGAGTTAGGATATTCCCTTACTTATTGGTCCAGCTAGCCACCTTTCTTTGGTAGCAGCTTAAGTGTAAGTGTTCTCACACTTCTCTTTGCAGAGAGTTCCTGAAGTTAATAAGGTAGGGTCAGAAATTTCAGCTCTTAATACTGTTTGAAATAGCAATGCCTTTTGAAAACAACTATGGTTATATATTGATATAAAAACCTTTACTGAGTGGTTGCTTAATGATAATAATTATGTTCTTAATGATAAATCTTCCATTTGGTGAATAGACATCCTTTGTATTACAGCTTTTAAGCTTTACACATCT